GGGGAGATTTGAGTCAGTTTCTGGTCACTTTTTGAGATAATTTGGGTTCGTTTCTGGTCACCTTTTGTGGAGATTTTGTTCAGTTTCTCGTCATTTTTGGCGAGATTTTCGTCCATTTCTAGTAATTTTTTGGGATGATTTGGGTCAATTTCTAGTCATTTTTTGGGGAGATTTTTGTCATTTTTGGGGTCGCTTTTTGGGGTGATTTGGATTAGTTTCTGGTCATTTTTTGGGGAGATTTGAGTCACTTTCTGATCATTTTTTGGGGAGATTTGAGTCAGTTTTGGATTTTTGCATCATTTTCTGGGCTGATTTAGGTCAGTTTCTGTTCATTTTTTTGAGGAGATTTGAGTCAGTTTTGGGTCATTTTTTGGGGTGATTTGGGTTAGTTTCTGTTCATTTTTTGGGGTGATTTGAGTCAGTTTGGGGTCATTTTTCGGGGTGATTTGAGTCAGTTTCTGTTCATTTTTTGGGCAGATTTTGGTTTGTTTTGGGGTCATTTTTTGGGGAGATTTTGGTCAATTTTGGGGTCATTTTTTGGGGTGATTTGGGTCAGTTTCCGTTCATTTTTTTGGGGAGATTTCAGTCAGTTTTGGGTCATTTTTTGCGGAGATTTGAGTCAGTTTTTGGTCATATCTTGGGGAGATTTCAGTCAGTTTTGGGTCAGTTTCTGTTCATTTTTTGCGGAGATTTGGGTCAGTTTCTGTTCATTTTCTGGGGAGATTTGGGTCAGTTTCTGTTCATTTTCTGGGGAGATTAGGGTCAGTTTCTCTTCATTTTCTGGGGAGATTTGGGTCAGTTTCTCTTCATTTTCTGGGGAGATTTGGGTCACTTTCTGTTCATTGTTTGGGAAGATTTGGGTCAGTTTCTGTTCTTTTTTTGGGGAGATTTGGGTCAGTTTCTGTTCATTTTTTGGGGAGATTTGGGAGAGTTTGGGGTCATTTTTTGGGGAGATTTGGGTTAGTTTCAGATCATTTTTTGGGGAGTTTTGGGTGAGATTTGGGTCATTTTTTGCAGAGATTTCAGTCAGTTTTTGAGTTCAGGTTTGTGCCCAGGCTGGCCCACCAACTGCACCTGAAAGTCAAAGAATACAGGCTTTCTTTCCTGGGGATAAGGGCTGTTGTTGGCTTTCAGGAATCCTGTGCTGAAATTGCCAATAGAAGTCCCAAAATTGAATACAAACAAAGATTCCTCCCAGACAAAAGGTGCCACCACAGAAAGCTCTTGCTGCCCATGGAGTGCCCAGGCTGGCCCACCAACTGCACCTGAAACATGAAGGTCAGAGTTTTCTTTCTGGGGGAAAAGGGCTGAGGTTACCTTGCAGGAGTCCTAGAGCCGAAATTGCCAGTCCAGCTGCCCAAATTGAATAAGGACGAAGATTCCTCCGAGACAAAATGTGCCACCACAGAAAGCTCTTGCTACCCATGGAGTCCTCAGGCTGGACCACCAATTGCACCTGAAAGCCAAAGGATATGGGCTTTCTTTCCTGGGGATAAGGGGGGTTTGTTCACTTGTTTCAGCCCCGCACTGCAGCTGTCAGTCCGACTTCCAAAATTGAATACGGATTAAGATTCCTTCCAGACAAAAGGTGCCAGGACAGAGCTCTTGCTGCCCATGGAGTGTCAGGCTGGCCCACAAACTGCACCTGATAGCCTGAGGTTCAGCCCTTGTTCCCAACGTTGAATAAACAAATACCTTGCTGTTTAAAGATACAAAAGCCTCTGAGCAGTTTTTCCTAACGGGTTTTTCGGCATCACAGTCTAACTGTTACCAAATACTGCCACTGTAACCCCTAAACCATCACCCAGCGCCAGATCCACACACCTCTGGAACACCTGCAGCAACGGTGACTCCACCACCTCCCTGGGTAACCTATTCCAATGCATGACCACCCAATTTTTTCCTAATCTCTAATCCGAATCTCCCCACTCTTATTGTAAGGCCATTTTCCCTGGTCCTCACTGCAAGACAGCGGCTCTTTCCCGGTTCAAACCTCGGCACAGCCCCCAAACCGGATGCGGGTCCGTGGAAGCACTTCCTGATTCTCGTTATTCCATCACTCCACATCCCCCGTCGCGAAGCGCCCTGGGAGCCCCGGGGGCTCAGCCCAGCACCGCGGGAGGGTCCCGGCATCCCCAGGGCTCCCTCCAGGCCCCCCCCGCGCCTCGTTCCGGTACCGCCAGGATCACCCTTGTCCCGCAGCTCCCGCAGGTAGGACGCGGCCACCCCGCGCTGCCCCAGCCCGCGCCGCTCGAACCCCCACCGCGCCGCTCCAGCTCCCGCCGAGCTTCTCCAGCCCCCGCCATTCCGCTCCAGCCCCCCCCTGAGCCGCTCCAGCCCCCTCCCGAGCCGCTCCAGCTCCCGCCGCCACCCCCCGCAGCGCTTCAGCCGCGCAGCCATCTCCCGGCGCCGGGCGAGGTTTTTCCAGGCAGGGAGGGGCGCCTGCCAGGAAAGGCAGGAACACAGCCCGTGTGTCCCTGGCAGGGAGGGGGGCTCTGAGGGACTCCGGGGGGCTCCGGACACACCCCCCGGGCACCGTGGGGGACCTTTTGTACCGGGGATTCCTACCCTCTGCGAGCGGCGGAGCTGTGCAAGGAGGGGACTTCATGTTAATTTTGGGAGTTAGACCTGCTGTTTCGTTGCTGGGCTCCGAAAGCAACCGACAGTCTTTCCCCTAGGAAGGAAAGGCTCTAGCCTTTGTGAGTCAGGTGCAGTTTCAGTGCAGGGCTCCGGCAAGCTAACAAAACCCTTTCCACACATATAGAAAGTTTTCCCACCTGCACCTGACACCCAAAAGCTATAGGCTTTCTTTCCTGAAGGGAATGGCTCTCATTTTCTTACAAGATACAATCCAAAATACAAATTCGAATACTAAATCCAATACCAACTACAATACCTGCTCTCATTAAGAGTCCTTTTCTTCGTCAGGCTCTTCAGCCATCCTGATTTTTAAATCAGAGATGCAAACCAGGTGCTTCTGCTCCCAGAGCCTTTATACCTTATGGGATTGGGCTACTCCCTTTCCCCCGGGGAAAGGTGTTCCTCCCAGGTGTTGTGGTGAATCTGTGCACATTCTTTGTTTCTTGTGTTTTCCAGGGGTTCTGCCACCTTCTAACAGACAGTCCGATGGTTCAGGGCCCCTGCGGGTAAGAGGTGACTGTGGAGGAGAGGTAGGTAGGAGCTACCCCAGGAAAGCCATCCTTTCAGGCAGTATCTCAGTGTGAACATTTGCCTTTGGCTTTTTTACTTTGCACAGAATGTGTGCAGCCTCAGAGGGCCGGAGCCATTTGTATTCTTGTAGGCTGCAGTCAGAGTTCTCACTCACTCAGTGGAAATGAGTTAAGTTGTTAAGATCTGAGTGACCATGTGGGTGACCTGACTAACCCTTTGGGTGCAGGCCGTCCCGGGACCCGGGTTTTGCCAGGCAGGCCAATTTTTTGATTTTTGAGGCTCCTCGGAAACCCCGTTCCCGAGGCAGCATTTTCAGTGTGTGCCGATATTCAGGGTTGGCTTGCGTCTCAAGGGAGGGGTGAGGGTGTGGTGATGGAGGGGTTGGGTGTGTTTAATGTAGTATTCTAACCTTGTGTTGTTTCTCTTTCAGGATTTTTTACACCATTTTAGCTTTAGAATAAAAAAACCCCAGCCGGGGGGTTTTTTTTCCTAGGTCCCGGCCGGTCTGCGAGGCGATGTTCATTGCCAAAGTTTGGGTGCAGGCCATCCTGGGACCCAGGTTTTGTCAGGTAGGCTGATTTTTCTGATTTTTTGAACCTTCCCAGGAACCACGTTCCTGAGGGAATGCTGTAACTTGTTTGCTAAACTGTGTTGTAAACTGTATTGTAACGTGTATGCTGTCCTGCATTGTAACTAACTTGTGTGCTAACCTGTGTTGTAAACTGTATTATTGCAACGTGTATGCTGTCCTGCATTGTAACTAACTTGTGTGCTAACCTGTGTTGTAAACTGTATTATTGTGACTTGTATGCTGTCCTGCATTGTAACTAATTTGTGTGCTAAACTGTGTTGTAAACTGTATTATTGTGACTTGTATGCTGTCCTGTGTTGTAAACTGTATTGTACCCTGTATACTAGCCTTGTGTAATTTCACAAGGTCACAAGCAGTCATTCAATAAAGTTGCAATAAAGGTTTGGGGACTTTTCCCCTCTTTGGGGGTTTTCCCCCTTTTTAGCTCCTGTCTTAATTTTTTTCCCGCCCCCCCGTTACCCTAATTAGGGAATAAATTTTTTTTCCCCGCCCCCTCATTACCCTTATTAGGGAATAAATTTTT